TGAGAGGAAGCTCTAGCTGGTGTGGCTCAGTGGATAAAGCGTCGGCCTACAGACCAAAGGGTCCCAGGTTTGATTCTGATCAAGGGCACGTACCTCGGATGCAGGCTCCTCCCTGGCCCAGGCCCCGGTCGGGGCAAGTGCAGGAGGCAACCAATCAATGTGTTTCTCTCACGTCGATATTTCTCTCTGTCTTTCCCTCTCTCTTCCTCTCTTTCTAAAAATCAATGAAAAAATATCCTCAGGTGAGGATTTATTTATTTATTTATTTATTTTTTAAATATATTTTATTGATTTTTTACAGAGAGGAAGGGAGAGGGATAGAGAGGACCCGGACCCTTCAGTCCACAGGCCGACGCTCTATCCACTGAGCCAAACCGGTACTGGAATCGAACCTGGGACCCTTGAGTCCGCAGGCCGACGCTCTATCCACTGAGCCAAACCGATCAGGGCGCTCAGGTGAGGATTTAAATAATAATAATAATAAAAATAAAATATCTGAGAGGATATACGAATAATGGAAATATTAATTTTCTGATGGTTTTCACTTCATCTTTTTGTAAATCCCATATAAAGTATAACGAATATAAGAGTTCCCATCTCAAACCCATTCCTTGTAAATTATGATCTGTGGCTGTGATGCTGTAATAACCACTTCCTTGATTAGGTTACATGGAGTGGCAAAGGTGAGGGACAGTCACCTCCATGGAACACTGTGCTATGTGACCCTGCATCTTAGAGACCTGGCAGGTTTTCCTGCTGGTCCGAGCAGGAGGTCACAACGCTGTGAGGGCCTGGGAGAGGGCAAGAAACTGTGGGGGCTCCAGAAGCTGAGACCCACCCTGGCTTACAGACAGCAATAAGTGGTGACCTCAGTCCTTCAACAGCAAGGATCTGAATTCTGCCAAAAACCATGTGAGTTTAGAACAGGATTTTGAGCTCCGGAAGGGAATAGGGCCTGGCTGGCATCTCCACTGTAGCCATGTGAAAATTTGAGCCCAGACTCCTGGCCCAGAGAAACTGAGATAATAAACGTGTGTTAAGCCCCTAAGTTTGAGGTAATTTGCTACTCAGCACACAAAACTGATAAATCACCATAGGCTGCCAAAGGTGTTTCACAAATAGCGGGCAAATGACTCTTGTGCTGTCTGTAGCCTCGTACTTCATATAACTATTTCCCGCACAACCCATTTTTCACTGAATTTTAGAAAATTTTTAACCTAGGATTATGCAATAAGTGGTGTGTTTCTCTTTTAGAAATTCTTGTTTTCCCCTAAAAATGCTGTACATACCACTGCTTCTCCTTTCTTCATGCCAAAGCACAAAACTACCCCTTCATGATCTCCAATAACCACCTGTAATAGATTGAAGAGAATCTACAATTATTATTATTATTATACCCTATTAACTATATGTGGAGAAAACAATATTCTCAATATACAAATTGTGATTTTAAAAGCAGAAATCAGAAAATCTAGGACACCCCCTCAAAAATTAATCATCCAAAGAATTATAGAAGAAGGTAACTGAAGGCCATGGAGAGTGGTTATGGACGGAGGTGCTCATATGTTCTGCTCCTACAATGTAAACGCACAAGAGAATAGGGACAGAGATGGGAGGGAGGTCATTTCTTTTTTTCTTAATTGAAGCATAAGAACATTTTAAGATTAATTTTCAAAATGTTACCAAATAGCCCTGGCTGGTGTGGCTCAGTGGCTAGAGCGTCGGCCTGCAGACTGAGGGGGTCCCAGGTTCGATTCTGGCCAAGGACACATGCCCAGGTTGCGGGCTCGATCCCCAGTAGGGGGCGTGCAGGAGGCAGCCAGTCAATGATTCTCTCTCATCATTGATATTTCTCTCTCTCTCTCTCCCTCTCCCTTCCTCTCTGAAATCAATAAATTTAAAAAAAAATTTAAAAATGTTATCAAATAATTATCAAAATGACTGATTTGATATTTTTAAACTTGTTTAATGGAAAACTTTAACATATGCAAATGTACAAAGAATATCATAATGAATTCCCATGTATCCATCACCCAGCTTTAACAATGATCGATTATCCAATGTGGCCAATGAATTACTCTGAAATAAACAGAAAGGGAGATTTTAACATCTCTTTCTCAGAAATTGATCAAGAAGACAAAAGAAGTAGATTATAAAAACAATTACCTTTAATCTAATATATAAGCATCCTATCTAATAAAAGAGAAACATGGTAATTAACCGTAACTTCGCTACCCTACCCATTGGCTAATCAGGGCGATATGCAAATTAACTGCAAATCAAGATGGCGGCCGGCTGCCAGGCAGCTGAAGTGAACAGGAGGCTTGCTTGCTCCAGTGACGGAGGAAGCCAAGGTTCCCCGCCTGCCTTGCCGGCCTCTGAGCT